TGTGCGGGGCGTGACTAAAGTAACCGGGGTGTGTCCCCCCCCCCCCCCACACCCCTCTTGCCCAGTCACTGTGTGGATTGATTCCAGCAAACCCCTTTAGTTGAACAAATGAATGTTTGCTGCGTCTGTTGCCAACTATGGAAGCAGTCGATTCCTGGGAAAAAAAAAAAAGCCTGAAAACGTTCAGTGTGTTTTACAAAGTAGCTCTGATTGTGAACATTTGTTTTCTGTTGCTGCCCATTGATGCTGAACCCATTACACCCAGCCTTACTCCAGTATCATCTGTCACTAAAACATACATATATTCAAAGCATTTTTATTATGTAAATGTGTGTGTTCTGTCAACAACTTTAACTCCGTTCAAGAAGCACATGCATTTCCACAGCAGCCAAATGAGCCCCAGTTTATTGACTCTCCCCGTGTTGTAACGATTCCTGTCATGGTTCTTGTATGTGCATCTCACTTTCTCTGGTGGTCCAATGAATATTTGATTAAGGTCCACTGAGTCATGACGCTGAGACTGAATAAACAACTGCTAAGTTTTTTTTATTTTTATTTGTATTTTTTTAAAACCACATTCAACTACTGCAGCAGATCAAACCTTAACCAAATCCCAAGAATTAAAGAAGCTTCCTCTTCATTATCTTTTCCCTCTGTAATCATGACCAGAACACGTAGCCTCTTAACTAGTCCAGATCATGGTGATGGCTGTTCCTCTGAGTTAATACCCCTAATTCCAAGGTACACCCTCGAGCCTGTGACACCGTGTTATTATCAGGACAAATGATGAGGGCGCGGGGGGGGGGGGGGGGCAAAATGATAGGAATTGGTGTTTCTGTTACCAGGGAAATGAAACTGTATTATTTTGTGTATAGTTCAGATTAACTCTGACCTATTTTCAACAGGTTATTTGAATTCTCTGCTGTTCCAGACTACGATGCATTTTCTCCTAAACCTCCCTAAATTCTGTAGCTGCTGCTGATCCCATTCTATTTCACAGCGAGTCAGACGTTTTGACCTTGGAAAAAGCCACTACGGTAAAATGTCCCTAATCTGGTCGTATTTCTTGTTGAGCTGCGTTTGTTGGATCCTGTGTAGAAAAAAATGACACCATTTCACATTCCTGCCAAAGTCGATCCATTTGAAAACAGGGATGTTTTCCTTTGTCTTTTAGTTCAGAATTCCTTCTGCAATTTTTTTAACTGGTCATTCCACTCACTCAATGCTTATATGGTCTAGAGAGAAATGAAAGGTGAAAAAAATAAAAATAATGTGTGTAAATGCCACAGTCACCTGCTGCAGCTCTGGCCTTTGTTTAAACCTCCATTTCCGTCGGTGAGTCAGTCAGTGTCTTCTCTTCCATTCAGCCCCAGTCAATTCAAACAATATAAAGCAGTACTTATGTGTCTAATGTGCTCTATGGCCATCTGCACTCAGCAGAGGAGAGACCGTTTGCTGTGTGTATGGGAGATTAGGTCTGTCAATGGAGTAGCTTCAGCTGCTGAAAGTGATATTGATGAGCAGTCACCTATACCTGCACTAACTGGTTCTAGGGTTGCTGTGATGTGAAGCCTGCAGAGACATTGTTGTGTTTCTAAAGCCTGGGTTTCATCTCTTGCCCTTTGGTCCGTTTCATGCCTGTCAGGTCGAGTCAAGTCAGTGCAATTTGTTTGTCCCAAATTCACGAGTAAAAAAAAAAAATTGGTTTTCTCAGGCTCAACAATTTGTGCATTCAATTTCAATTCAGTTGAAGTGTGCATTTCATCCCTGACATCTCACACTGTAAGATGCTGACAAAATTAAAAGACATTAGGATTAAAAACCAACTCATCACTGAAATCACAGCCCTAATTATTTTAATTCACTCTAATATTGTAGCAGCGCTCAGTAGTAACATATGGTTGTAAAGAATATTTTGCAAACAATGAGATTTAAAAATGTCCTCCCAACTCCAGCGTGGGCAGTGCATGAGTTGTTCAGATTAAATTCCGCTGCATGGTCTGCATTTGCATTGGTAGATTTGTTCTCATAAGCCTCCTGCCTCATGGGTGTCTGTGCAGATGGAGGAGAGACACAGGGATAAAAGCCAGCCGGAAAAAAGGGGCGAGACGGATCTGATGAGAATCCTAATCTGACACTTGTCAACATGACGTTGTTGTTCTTCTTCTTCTTCGGTGGGATACAGCGCACACACCCTGATGATGATTGACTTGTTTTGGCCACACGGGAGCAGCGGAAACAAGTTGTAAACACATCACTGACATATCATCACTTTTTAATTTGATACAGTGACCTTGA